AATGAGTGCCATACTATTCCTCTTCAATTTATTCCCGGAAGAGTAGATCATACAGTTTGTCTGATTCAAAATGGCCAAAAGCAGTACATTTCAGCTCACTAATCCTCAACGGCACATAACAACAACACAACAACAATCCCTAGGATATTGATCTTTATACGTTCCATTTCATTTTTGACAACTTCCAATTTTCCCAGATACACACTTAAGACATTCCATGTTCTGATCATTAAATAATCAGAACACCATAACTGAACTGGTGAAAACCAAAGATGAAGAGGATACCTTGAAAACAGGCTAAGAAAAAGGGCATGATAAACAGAACAAAACAAATATGGCTGATTTTTATTACAGAAAGTGGAGACCAGCAGACAATTAAATGATATCTTTAAAATGCTACGAGAGAAAAAAACAACTTTCAAATCAGAGTTCTAGTAAAAGTATACTTCAAAAGTCAGAAAGAAACAATTACAGTTTCAGATAAACGAAGGAAAGTCACAAAACTTATACTAAGAAAAATGTTAATGGATGTTCTTCAAGCTGAAGGAAAATGATACCAGAAGAACACCTTAATCTATTAGAAGAAAAGAAATGTATTTCCATCATTTCCTTAAATGACTGGTTAAAGCAAAAATTGTAACACTGCAAGCCAACATAAAAGTCATGGTAGTATAAAGGGATGGGAGGTACGTAAACGGAGTCATAACTATGTATAAGGTATACATGCCTTATACATATGTATAATATGTAATATATCTCAAAATAATAATACATAATATTATAGTATATAATAATATGTAATACCTTGTAATATGTAACAACCTTGAATAAGGTTATTACATCTGTGTGAAGTGTGAAGTTAAAGGTATAAAATGGGAAATTGGAAGTGTGAGGTGGGACATGAGAAGTGACAAAGGTTAAGGTAAGGAATGAAATGGTACAATATTGATCCTAAGTAGATCCAATAAATTAAGAATGCATATCGTTAGCCCTAGAGCAACATGTTAAAAAAAAATTGCATAGCAGTGCTTACAAAAATACCTTGTGGGGAGAGGGCATGGCTGACAAACACAGAAGGCACATATTATCTGCATAAATATACAGTATACAAATATTATAAAAAGTGATAAGGTTAAGGAAATAGAAAAAAATTAAGCTGAATAACAAAAATAGTTTAGTCTAAAATAAGGTATAAAAGGTACAGCAATGAAAGAAAGCAGAGAGAATATTTGAAAAAATGGCAGAAAACTTCCCAAATGTAATGAAAAACATTAATCTACATATCCAAGAAGCTCCAAGAACTCCTAGTATGGCAAAGTCAAAGAGATCCACACTAGCTACATCATATTCAACCTACCAAGAGCCAAAGAGAGAATCATGAAACCAGCAACAAAGAAGAAACTTATTACGTACAAGAGATCCTGAATAAAATTAACAGCTCACTTCTTAACACATGACAGTGAAATGACATATTCAATGTGCTGAAATAAAAAGACTGTTGACCAGGACTTCTATACCCAGCAAAAAGTATCCTTCAAAAAATGAAGGTAATATATGACTATGAGGCCAGAAGAACTAGATGCTGCCCAGCTACCACTGTCAACCGAAAGTGGTTGACTATCAACCTATCCACGATCTATGTAGGAGATCCTGGATAGAGTGGGAGAACAATGTGAAACAAAATTCAAAATCAGAAAAAAAAAAAAAGGACTAGGTTTGCTGGCCTGATAAAGCCTGGTGGAATCTCTCAGACTATGGCTCCTAGCTGCCCTTCAGGTCTGGAATTGAACCCACTCCTGTGGCCTCCAGCCAAACAAGACAGGCATATGAGTGGAACATTTACATCAGGTAGATACACTCCTTAAAGAGATCAATCATGGGAGAAAAGAAGGGCTGTGTATGCACAGGGAGACAGCTTGGGGAGGCAGGAGTGCATGGGAGCGAAGGACACAGGGAAGAGGTGGCTCTGGGGAGAAAGTGGGAGGAGAACTGTTGCACTGTGGGAGATTATAGTCAATGTTATGAGACAAAGTATATGTGAACTGCTGTATGGAAGATAAATTTGCTCTGTAAACTTTCACCCAAATTACATTAAAAAAAAAACAAGGCAAAATTAAGAAATTCCCAGATAAAGAAAAACTAAGAATTCACTGGTAGCAAACCTGCCCTACAGAAAATACTAAAGTAAGCCTTCACGCTGAAATAAAAGGACACTAGACTCTGGTAGTGTAGTGCCTAAGGCACTTGACTGCTAACCAGAAGGCTGGCAGTTCAAACCCACCATCCACTCCTCGGAAAGAAGGTTGGGCAATCTACTTCTGTAGTGATACCGCCTTGGAAACCCAAGGAGGGGTCACTATGAGTCCGGTCCGATTTGATGGCATATAACAACAAGAAAAAAGACTAACTCAAATCCACATGAAGAAACAAAGAAAACCAGTAAGGTAATTAATTACACCTAAATATATAAGACAACATTAATGTACTTTTGTTTGTAACTCTTTTCTTTCCTCCTATCTGATTTAAAAGACAACTGCATAATGCAGTAATGATCAGTCTGTGTAGATGGATACATAAAGCATAAAGATGTTATTTGTATGGTAACAACAATCAAATAATGGGGAGAGGGAATGAAGCTATACAGGAGCAAAAAAATTTTTTACTACTGAAATTAAATTGGCATTCATCAGAAGTATATTGTTATGTTAATTGTAATCTTCATGGTACCCACTAAGAAAATAACTTTAAAAAAATGGAAACGACAAGTGAATTCAAATAGTGAATTAGAAATTATCTATTTAACACAAACAACGCCAGTAAAGGAAGAACACTGTTGCCCTCAAATTGATTCAAACTCATGGTGACCCTGCCCAAGGAGAACTGTACTCCACAGGGTTTTCAATGGTTTTTTTGGTAGTAGATCATCACCAGGCCTTTCTTCTGTGCCTGTAGGTCAACTTGAACCTCCCACCTTTTAGCAGCCAAGTACTTTAACCATGTGCACCACCCAGAGATTCCCAACGAGGACTAGAGGAACAAATTATGACTAAATTTAGAGACATCTACCTGATTCGCATAAATTACGTAGTTCAACAATACCACATTTGAACAGCATGTACGTCAACGGGAAATTTTATTATGGTGGTAGTATGCAGTGTAGTAAATTACATGGTATGGCTTTTCCAGCCATAGGCTTTGTAACTCCCACCAGATTACTGGGTGGGATTATGCAATTTAAAGTCCTGATTGTTAAAGTTATCCACCTGGAGTATTTCTGTTAAAGCAGCAGGAAATAATCCTCTGGGAAGTTCACTCTCAGGTGTGTAGAATTCTGATGTTGGGATTGGTTAGTTTTGCCACTCTGCCAGGCTTAAAATGAGCCCTCCTACAGCCAGAAAGGAAGCTCTCACTGCTGACTGAGAGAGATGTGCTGCTGAGACAGACACCCAAAGCTGAGAGAAACACACACTGCTGAGAAAGAAATGAGCTGTTAAGAGAGATGCCCAGCTGAGAGACAGTGGCAGTGGAACTAAGAGGAACAAGACAGAGTGGCAGGCTTACCTGGCCCACAGAAGCAGAGGCTGAGAGGCCAAGGGCCAGAGAGGTCTTTCTAAGGGCACAGCAGAGGGGAGACTGTCCTGACCGAAGAAGTGTATCCTGAGTGCATTCCTGAATTTGAAGAATTGTAGCCTGTTGATTTCATAATAAACCCCATAATCTGTAAGTTGTGTGTGGCCACTGCAGCGAATTACTGAACCCAGCAGAGAGGTGGTGGGTGCCGTGGGAGGGATTTTTGGTGTCAAGGCTGCTAAGAGGGCTGGAGGGTGGCAGCATGTCTAGCCTCATAAGAACAGGCGTTGGGCTGCTGATGTTGAGGAGTCTGTCCTCTTCTTGTAGAGTTAGAGGAGGTGAGAAGATGCCGCCTCCCTGCCCCTTTAGCATAGAATAAATGAGCACACTGCTTAGATAAATAAGTTAGCAAAATCTTCTTAAGTTGAACATTTACTTAACCATTGGCCCAGGAATTTCACTCCTGAATAGATGCTCTAAAAAACTTCTTGGACGTGTGCCCTATTCTATACATATTTAAGGTTACTAGCACCACTGTTCATAATAGCAAAAAACAAGAAACAATCCAGATGCTCATGATCAAGAGACAGATAAACTGTCATACATTCACAAATAAAACATTTAATAGCATTGATCAACTCGATGGCAACCAACAACAAAATAGCACTGAAAATGAAGAAATTACAGTTGCAGACAAAACATACTTACATCTCAGAAATACAATCTTGTGTGAAAATAGTAAGTTTCATATGACTATATGAAGAATGATACCACTTTTATAAATATCTTAAATAAGCATAAATAAACAACACATTTTTTTAATTTGTGATTTGGATGAAAATTTACAGAGCAAATTCATCTTCCATACAACAGTTCACACACATTTTGTTTCATGACATTGACTGAAATCCCCATAATGGAACAACTCTCTTCCCACTTCCTTCCTGTGGTAACCTTTTCCCTGTGTCCTTCTTTCCTATGCATTCCTGCCCTCTGAGCTATCTCCCTGTGTAAATACTGCCCTTCTGATCTCCCATGGTTGGGAAGATGGTACAGGACCAGGCAGTGTTTCTGTTACAGAGTTGCTATGAGTGACAGCAGTAACAACAACAATGTGCTTCCTTCTTTCCCTCCTCAGGAATTAACTATTATTCTGAATACTGTGTTTCTCATTCTCTTGCTTAATTTCTTTTTATTCTGTATATATGTGTGCCAGAACAATGTATTATTATAACAAATGTGAGTGACAACCACAATACCACTAAGGAAAAAAAAGACACAGAGAGGTGGACAGGAGGTACGGACAACAAAGATAAACACTTTTACACGTTTTATAACTCACATATACTCTTTCAAGTCCCAAATATATTTTTAAAAGGTATCATAAAAATAACTTCACATTAAAACAATGTTAAACATGAAACTCATACCTTCAACTATGCTGGACTTAGCAAGAAATCCTGAAGATGTTTTCAGAGCTCCATTGAATACCACAAAACTTGCACCTGTCACTGATTAAAAAATACAACAACTACTTATGTTTTAATCTACCATTTTATATATATTAAATGTGCATGGCACATTTTAAGTACTCTATAACGTCATGTCCATATTACTTACATTTGATCTAGCTAACCAAAAAACAAAGGAAATAAAATTAAGATAAAATATTGCAAAGTAGTAAGTTAATGTTTGTACCTAATAATTATACTATTTGGAATGTTTGAGCTTTTGTCAGTAAGAGTATGGGAAATCAAACATCCGTTACCGGTGAGAATGTAAATCAGGACAATCTCTGTGAAGGACTATTTGATGATACCTAGTACAACTACAAATAACACATATCCATTGATGCAGCAATTCCACTTCTAGGAATTTATCCTCTGGAGAGGTTCAAATGTGTACAAGGTTATACATTGTAACATTTTTATAAATACCCAAGAAATGGTAATAAATATGTCTATAAATAAAGGGCAGTCAAATGATATACACATATAAAATGGAAAACTATGTGGAATGAACAAGCTCTTCACATACTGTTGTTGTTATATGTCATTGAGTCAATTTGAACTCCGTCCCTATATGACAGAGTAGAATGGCCCCATAGGGTTTCTAGGTTGTAATCTTTACAGGAGCAGATTGCCAGGTCTTTTCTCTTGCGAAACCACTTGTGGGTTCAAACTGCTGCTCTTTCAGTTAGCAGCTGAACACTTAACCCTTGTGCCACCAGGGCTCCTTCCTAAACTTTATATTCTAATGCAGAATAATTTCCAAGATGTATAAACTAAAAAAGAAAAAAAAAAAAAGCAAGGTACAGAATAGAACAAATGTTATGGCTTTGTTTAAAATAGTAAAAAAGAAAAAGAAATAGTATGTGTGCGTGTTATTGACACGAATATACAAACAAGCAAAAACGTCCCTGAAAGACTATGAAGAAACTGGTAACATCAAGAATGTACTAGGCCTGAGCATATCAAAATAAATAGAGTCTTCGAAGTCTGATGTACACCAAGAGAGTATCACAAATACAAGGAATGGTTTAATTTGCTTATTTGGATAATGGAAATTTTAAAGCATACATTACCTTATCACTGTCAATTCAGCAAATAAATAACACATATATACATATAGACTTTTTTTCCCCATTGAAAGGAATTATATTAATTGGGGTGGTCTTATGAATTAGCAGTAGGAATCATAATTCTCACCTTTCCTAGGATGGCCAGTTGCACTGTTGGCCTGTGTTTGATAAACTCCATCATTCTGTACACAGACTAAATGAGAATCTGCTTCTGTACTAAAGCTTGCTCCAATGCTAATGACATGCTCATTAGAAGAATTTATTACTTTCATTACCTGGGAGGGAAAACATTTACTTAGAAACAATACATTTTATGCCTTTATTGGTTACAGTAATTCAGAAAGTCACATTCCTGATCAGCCTCATAATTATCAAATTTTGGTCTGAATAACTCTCTGCAATGTGACATATACAAATGTTTTAAAATAAAACAGAAAAAACAAATTCCTTATTAAGAAACTATTTCTAAAATTTTAAAAATGTTTTCTTTTCCCATTACATATTAAATAGTCTGATATAAAAATGAAAAAAAAAATCTAAATCTGACACAATTTTAAGGAAATCTAATGCTTAACAACTGTCTTCAAAATTCAGAAAAGCAATTATACTTACATCACTGTATTTCTTCCGAGGTATTTTTATGCAGCTTTTGCCCATTTCCATATGAATCAATAGTTGATCTATATTATGCAAGGTGTACTGGTAATTTCGAAGGTCCTACATAAAATAATAGCATTTCCATAAACTTTAAACTACTACCCGTGAGCATTTACCAATTTGTTAAACTTTTTTTTTTTTTAAGAGCACCCATCAGTTTAAGGTTTCTGCTACATAACCATCAAAACTCCATTCCATAAAGCCAGTACCAGCTTAAGAAAACCAACTGATCTTTCTAGCTACTATACTTCAGTTATAAAGACTATCATTCTCAGGAAGAATTCTGTGGTATTTGGGAGTGAACACCTCTTTATGGTTAAAGATCTTTCAAAATAGAAAAGGTCTTCAAATGAACATGTGAAAATGAAAGTGAGTCTACCAAAATCCTTTACTATGTGTCTTAGTTATCTAGCTGTTATAACAGAAATACAAGTGGATGGCTTTAACAGACATAAATTCATTCTCTCACAGGTTGCTGTTGCTGTTGTTAGGTGCTGCTGAGCCTGTTCTGACTCATACTGATCCCATGTATGAATGAAACACTGCCCAGTCCTGTGCCATCCTCACAATCATTGCTATGTTTGGGCCCATTGTTGCAGCCACTGGGTCAGTCCATCTCCGTAAGGGTCTTCCTCTTTTCTGCTGACCCTCTACCAAGCATGACGTCCTTCTCCAGAGACTGGTGCTTCCTGATAACATGACCAAAGTATGCAAAACAGTCTTGCTATACTTGCTTCTAAGGAGCCTTCTGGCCATACTACTTCCGAGACAGATTTGTTTGTTCTGGAAGACCATGGGATGTATATTCAATATTCTTTGTCAACATCATAATTCAAAGGCATCAATTCTTGTCTGGTTTTCCTTATTCAATGAACAGCTTCTGCATTCATATGAGGTGACTGAAAATACCATGGCTTGGGTCAGGAACACCTTAGTCCTCAAAGTGACATATTTCCTCTTTAACATTATACTATTAAGGACTTAGGAGGGTAGAAGTCCAAATTCAGAGCCCTAACTCTAAGTAAAGGCTTTCTCTCTATGTCAGCTCTAGGGCAAGCAAGGTCCTTGTTTCCTTTCATCTGTAGGCCTGGTGTCCCTAACAGCTCTCCACATGTCTTCATATCAGTGTTCTCCTGGGTCCAGGATTGGAACTCTGCTCCTGGCTCTTTTTACTACCACCCAGAAGGTCTCTCTCTGCTCTCTTCTTTCTCTTTTTATCTCTTGTAAGATAAACAGTGATGCAGGCCACACTCCAGGGAAACTCCCCCTATATTTGATCAGGAATATGACCTGAGTAAGGGAGCTCTGGTAGCATAGTGGTTAAGACACTTGCCTGCTCACCAGAAGGCTGGCGGTTCAAACCCACCAGCCACTCCTCGGAAGGAAGGTTGGGCAATCCTACTTCCGTAGTGATACTGCCTTGGAAACCCAAGGAGGGGTCGCTATGAGTCAGGGCTGACTCGACGGCACATAACAACAACAACAACAACAACAACAACAACGGTAGTAAATTTCACCCTAATCACCTTACAGCTGATTGGCTGATGACATCATGAGGGATGGTTACATCATTATACAACTGCCAAACCACTAAGAATCAAGGCCCAGCCAAGCTGACTCATTTTTGGGAGTCACGATTCAAGACATGATATTCCACCCTGGAGCCCCTAAAAATTCATGTCCTTGCTACAAGTAAACTACTTTCACCCTGTCATGTCATCCCAAAAATCTTAAATCAACTCTAAGTCTAAACTGCCTGTGAAATGTAGAATACAAATTATCTGCTTTCAAAGTACAATGGTGGAATAGGCAGAAGGTAGACATTTCCATTACAAATGGAAAAAATGCAAGAAAAGAATAATAGGTGCCAAGAAAGTAAAAAACCCAGCAGAACAATTTAGCTCTCAAGGATTGAAAATAATCCTCTGTTCTCTGAGACCATCTAGGCAGTGGTCATGCCCTCTAGACTCTGGGTGTTAGCCATGCCCTAGAGTGGAAGCCCCTTGGCCCCGGGCTTCATCTCCACCTTCCAGGCTCACAGGGATGGCAATTCTGTTCCCTAGGCTTTGGGAAGCCCCACTCTCCACCTAAGTGGCAATCTCACTCCTTTGGCCTTGGCAAATCCTATTCTTCTTTCCCTTGGGCATGACAGCCTTGGCCCCTCAGTTTTCGGTAGCAGCTCCAGCCCCATCCCCCTGGCACTCATGAACAGCAGCCCTACACTCCAGAATTAAATTCATAAGATCTGATTCTCTCAAACCTAGGAGGTTGCAACCCTACCCTTTTGAGAACCCAGAGATCATAAACCCAGCAGGGAAGGGGCCCTCAGAGGTTGTGGCTCTATCCTAAGACCAAGGTAGCTGCTTCTAGTGCTCCTTGTCTCATCAGCTTCTACTTCTGCTTCCTGGTCCCTTGGTCTCTCGGGCCAGCCCTACCTATATACTGCTAAGGCAAGTGTTAGCTACAAAGTTCTGGTAAGTGCCTGACAGCAGTCCATTCACCTATTACCCTCAGCCCAAAGGCACTCAGCTCTCTAACTCCATGGGTTGTTAAGCCTAGCTCTGTTGACAAGTGCCCCAAAGCACCCCTCCTCCACCAGGAAGCCATTGATGGCACTCAACTCTCTCACTCTGTGGGTTGGCTCCAAAGCTATCTCACACTGGTCTCCATGTTCTGCTTCCAACATTTCTCTGCTGCTGCTTCTTGTCTGTGCTGTCTCTACTGTTACAGCTCTCCTCACTTCCTTCAGAACCTTCGCTAGAATTGCCTTTGACATGCAAAACTCCACCAGCAGTTTCTTGGAGGCAATCTAGTCTTTTACTATTAGGTACCTTAAATGCTTCCAGATTCTACTCATTACTAAATTTTATAACTGCTTCCACATTTTAGGTATCTGTTAGAGCAGCACCCCATTTTTCTGGCACCCCATTTGTCTTAGTCATCTACTGCTGCTATAACAGAAATACAAGTGGATGTCTTTGACAAACAGAAATTTATTTTGTCACAGCTTAGGAGACTAGAAGTCCAAATTTAGGGTCCTGGCTCTAGGGAAAAGCTTTCTCTCTCTGTCAGCTCTCATGTGAGGTCCTTGTCTCTTTGTGCTTCTGCTCCTGGGCGATCTTCATGTGTCCTGGCACCTCTCTCCCCTCATCCCTGCTCTGCTCTGCTCAATTGTTCACTGTCTTTTAAACCTCAAAGGAGACTGACTCAAGATATTGTTGTTGTTGTTGTTGTTTGCCGTCGAGTCGGCCCCGACTCATAGCGACCCCTCCTTGGGTTTCCGAGGCAGTATCACTACGGAAGTAGGATTGCCCAACCTTCTCAAGATATACCCTACACTAATTCTGCCTCATTAACATAACAAAGATAACTCATTTCCAAACGGGATTATAACTGCAAGCACAGGGGTTAGGATTTCTAACACGTATATTTTGGGGTCATAACACTAGCATTAACAGGTAAATACAAAATATAGAAATGAGAGGTGTAAGGAAATCTCAGACATAATCTAATCCAACCCATCATATTACAAATGAAAAAATTATGGCCATAGTTTGCTCAAACTCACAAAACTGACTTTATTAACACTTTTACTAAAATTCCAATAACGGTGTAGTAGTATCACATTATCTAAATATTTAAGATCTTCAGCAGAATGAACCAAAAGGCAACTAAGAGTCAGGCACACATAAACTGTTGTGTTGTTAGCTGCCAACAAGCTGGCCCTCAACTCATGATAACCTCATGCAAAATGGGGTTGGACTGTTGTGACTCATACATAGGGTTTTCACTGGCTGATTTTGAGAAGCAGATCACTATCCTTAATCTGGAAGCTCTGCTGAAATCAGTTCAGCATCATAGCAACACGTAAGCCTCTGCTAACAGACAGACAGTGGCTACACTTGAGATGCACTGGCCAGGAAATGAACCCAGACCACCACAGAATGTAAGAATTCTATCTCTGAACCACCACAGTACTCTTACATATAAATAAGGAGCTATAATATTCTGAAAATTTGTCAAAAAGAGAACCCATTTATGTTAAATGAACTAGGATTTTACTATAAATGAACTTTCAACATACCAAACATGCCAGCCAGATTAAAATAGGAAAATATGACTGTGTGAAATTTGCTATATAAACTTAAGTTAGAGTATAAAAATATTTAACAAAATATTTCAATTACTTACAACAAGTAAGTTCATAATAGTGTGTCCTATTTCTCCAAAAAGAGGTTTTCGGCCTCTGATACTTGTTAGAGGAGCAGGATACTCTATACATAAGAAAGGAAATCTGGTTACTGACAACAATAACCAAAAAGAGTGTTGAATTTAGTACCTTTAATTCCCATTTTTCAAAGAAACAAATAATCCAAAGAACTCTTATGAAATACCAATCCTCCATTGTATACACTGAGACCCTATACTGGGACTGAGGCTAAATATCACCTAATCAGTTCTTGGGGAAATGAAAGATGACACTGGCCTTCACTGTGCATCTACTATTTGCTATATTGAGCTGAGAACTTTGTACACGTTATCTTATTTAGCCATTTACCTGGACCTCACCAGATGGAATAAACAGGAATCAAGTCAACTATATCTGTACAAAGAGATGATCAATATCATCAGTCAAAACAAGGCAAGGGGCCGAATGTGGAAGGGACCATCAACTGCTCATATGCAAGTTTAAGATGAAGCTAAAGAAAATTGAAACAAGTCCATGAGAGCCAAAATACTATATTCCACTTGAAATTAGAGACCATCTGAAGAACAGATTTGACACACTGAGCACCAATGACTGAAGACCAGATGAGTTGTAGGTTGACATCAAGAACATCCAAAAACCACACTCCTTGAATTTCCGAGGCAGTATCACTATGGAAGTAGATTGTCCAATCTTCCTCCCAAGGAGTGGCTGGTGGGTTTGAACCGCCAGCTTTCTGGTTAGCCGTCAAATGCCTTAGGCACTATGCCACCAGAGCTCCTTGAAGAAAGCGAAAGGTTATTAAAAAGACAGAAAAGGAAGAAAAGACCAAAATGGGTATCAGGGAGACTCTGAGACTTGCTTTTAAATAGAGAATAGCTAAAGCAAATGGAAGAATTGATTAAAAAAAAAAAAAAAAAGACTCTGAACAAAAGATTTCAAAGAAAGGGTAGCTCAAAAGACAATGTAAGATGTTATAATGAAATGTGTAAACCTGGATTTAGAAAATCAAAAGGGAAGAAGACGTTTGGCATTTCTCAAGCTCAAGAACTGAAGAAAAAATTCAAGCCTTGAGCTGGAATACTGAAGGGTTCTATAGGCAAAATACTGAACGATATAGGAAGCATCAAAAGAAAAAGGAAGGAGTACAGAGTTGCTCTTTGGATTCAAATAAAAAATAATTGGTCAAAGTTCAACCATTTCAGGAGGTAGCAAATGATCAAGAACCAATGGTATTAAAGGAAGAAGTCCAAGCTGCACTGAAGGAATTGAAGAAAACATAAAATGGATGAAACAATCAATGCTTGAACAAAAAGATGCAATGCTAGAAGGGAAGCAAGGCTGTTTCTATGATGATAAAAAGCAGACACATTTAAAACAGTTCTTGGTTTAGTTCATAATCAAATTAACTTTCTAATACCTATTATAAGAACTCTGATGGCACAGTGGTTAAGCGATTTGGTTGTTAATCAAAAGGCTGGCAGTCTGAACCTACCAGCTACTCCACAGGAGAAAGATGAGACAATATGCTTCCATAGATTTACAGCCTTGGAAACCCTACGGGGCAGTTCTACTCTGTCTTCTCGGTCACTATAAGTTGGAACTCACCTGATGGCAGTGGGTTTGATTTTGATTTTAACCTACTATACTTTCTTAACTTTCTAAGAAAATACTAAAAACCTGATTATCTATTTAAAGACTGAGACAGAGTAACACACAGCCTTGCTATACTAGGATATTCTGGGTACTTGTATACTTCAGATATTTTGTAATTCTAAAAAAGAGATTAAATTATTCAGAGGACAAAGGGTCTAGAAAAAAATATTAAGAAATTAGTTAAAGGACATTAAAATGATACAAGAAATGTTTAAGGTAAATGATGATTTCATCTATTCCTTATGTGAATGAAATGGCAGCATCCTTTGCAACTTGATAGAGGTAGTTTTATATTGAACATTATCCTCAACAGGTTATGGAGTTTACTGACATACTGTCAGAGTTACAAAGGGATTCCAAATTATCTACTCCAACATTTAAAGATATGCAAACAAATGGTCTTAACACAAAAGTTAATTCCCGTTTGAAAATTACTAATTTGAGAGTTATTTTCAGTCCTTAGTCTTGGGACTCTAACTTTTACCATTAGCTTTTCCATATTTACATTACCTCTATAATACAAACATACATGTTTCAAGTTCACTACTGAGGCATGTGCATCAATAATGTCAAAGTACTAGTCTATCTAGAATTCAGCAGAACATAAAAGAGTTCAGAAAATAGTTAAGGTAGGTTAACTTCTATGTATAACTGGCGATTTGCCCTCCTCACCATGAGAGCTATCACAGCTTCGTAATTCCAACCCCTGTGATATTTTGGAAGTCCTTCATATTGCTCCATAATTTCCCTATGTTCTGCTTAAAGAAAACAGACTTACTAGAAGTAATATTGGCCAAAATACTAGACAAATTTGCAGATGATTTCAGAGAAGCTAATGTATTACTCTAACCTTCCATAAAATAGCCTTCACTTATTAATATCAGAGACAAATATTAGACTGAATGCATCCAACATCTGACTCAGAATAGAATTTTTAAGCTTTTTGAGTCACACAGTACAGAATGTGAAAGTTGAATTTTCTTACTTTATATAAACTTAATACTATCACATATTTAAATACTCTAAATGCTAAGGATCCTCCTGAAATCACAGTTCACTAAAATTTGCCATATTGAGATATTTAAACAAATTTCTCTTTCACTGAATTTGTCCATTTTGCAATAGTAATGTTCACTTTTATAATTTCCCTACATTTAACTTTCCTCCAGGAAAATACCTATTGAATTTTAGTAGATCTAAATACCTAAAATTTCATTAGATGTGATTACTTTTCAATGAAATAAATGTATTATTTCCTGAAAAAAAAGTCAGGGATAAAGAAATGGTAGGAATTGACAAAAGTTTAATACTAGAAATAATTTTGACTTAGAAATAACGATATACATAAACCTGGACCATTATCTTAAAATAGTTTTAGTATCTCTGCTTCTGTAAGGGTAGATATATAAATACACACACACTCATATATACACATATATAAACAGTACAGTCTTTATCACTTTTGGGTGATAAAAAATAAGAATAAGGAACCTCAAGCTTAGAAAAGATGAGAACTCCCCTTTTTAAGTATTTCCTTCCCCAAAAAATAGTTAACTATTGATTATAATCAGGAACTAAAAAGAACTGGCGCTCTGGTAGCATAGTGCCTAAGGCACTTGACTGCTAACCAGAAGGCTGGAGGTTCAAAGCCACCAGCCACTCCTTGGAAGGAAGGTTGGGCAATCTACTTCCATACTGATACCGCCTCGGAAACCCAAGGAGGGGTCGCTAGGAGTCGGGTCAGACTCGATGGCACATAACAACAATGGCAACAAAAAGAACTGGCACTGATAATCCAAAAATCTTTTATCTTTGGCTTTATGATGCAGACAAAGTGCGTGGCAATACTCTGCCTTTTTAATATGTTGTTGCTAGGTGCCGATGAGTTGGCTCTGACTCATAGAGACTCTATGCACAACAGAATGAAACATTGCCTGGTCCTGTGCCAGCCTCATAATCCTTACTACTGTTGAGCCCACTGTTGCAGCCACTGTGTCAATCCATCTCTTTGAAGGTCTTCCCCTCTTTTGCTAATCCTCTACTTTACCATGCATGAAATCCTTCTCCAGGCAATAGTTTCTTCTGACAACAAGACCAAAGCAGGTGAGATGAAGTCTGGCCATTCTTGCTTCCAAGGAGCATTCAAGGTGCGCGTCTTCCAGGATAGATGTTTGTTCTTCTGGCAGTCCATGGTATGTCCAGTATTCTTTGCCAGCACCACGATTCAAAGGCATTAACTCTTCTTCGGTCTTCCTTATTCACTGTCTAGCTTTCACAGGCATATGAGGTGACTGAAAATATCATGGCTTGGCTTAGGTGCACCTTGATCTTCAAAGTAACATCTTTGCTCCTTAACATTTTAAAGAGGTCTCTTGCAGCAGATTTGCCCAGAGCAATACTACCTCTGATTTCCTGACTGCTGCTTCCATGGGTGTTGAATGGAGATCCAAATAAAATGAGATCTCTGACAATATCAATCTTTTCTCTTTTTTAATAGGTAGGCAACATAAAAATTGAGGTCCCTATACTACATGCTTTTAAGAAATCTTGTAGCAAAAACTTAAACTGTCAGTTTTCTGTTTTATTGTGAAATTAAAAAAAAAAAAAACCTGAGATAAGTTAATATAATAATATCTGAACATCTACAAGGTTTATGATATACTAAGGTGGTCTAGACTAATATGATCGTAGAAGGAGGTTGGTTTGGAATTTTGAAAACACACAGTAACAAAAGCAGTCCTAAGGCATTTGACTGCTAACCAGAAGGCTGGCAGTTCAAACCCACCAGCCACTCCTCAGAAGAAAGGGTCATTATGAGCCGGATCTGACTTGACTGCAGTAGGTTTTTTATTAACCCATTCAGAAATTGATTTTAATGAATTGCCTAAAATTCTTATTTTATATTCAGTATACTGAACCTATGTAATTTAGTTTATCATTCTAAAACTTACCTTTATATTCTGCACCCAATCTCAACATTAAACGCATAGGAAAAACCTTTGCCCAGGGAATCTCTAGCTTCTGGATAAGAATTCCACAAAGAAAAGGATTACTTGGTAATGGGAGATCATCAAGTTTCTGAAAAGTAGGTGTAATAAACAGGAATCCTCCATGATCTTTGCTACTGAGAAAACTCTCAGTAAAGGTAATATTGTCCAAGTTTTCTATATATTTTCCTAGAAATAAAATAAGTAATAATATTTTAAGTAGTTATATTTTAAAGAGGCATTCTCAGTTTGAATATCCCAATAGTCAAATTCCATAACAATATTCTTATTCCATAAGTAAAAGCAATGTAGAATTTTTTTCTTATTTCCACTCTTGAAGAAGCACCTATTGAAAACCTTATGGCACAAAGATCAGTTATTCTTGAAGACTGGGGATTATAAACAAAAACTGAAAATGTTTCTAGCCATAGGTATTTTAAAATTTTTCATCTGCTTGGCCAACTGAAAAATTAGACCATGTCCTCAGTTTATACAGATAGGTAAAATATACACAGACGCACTAAAAAATATAATAAGGCAAATATATTTCCATCTTAAAATCAAAATAAGTCTGTGTAATGATACTAATTATTTAAAATGCTACATTTAAGAAAACTTGAAAATGATGAATGATTCTTTAAGAAATCAGCAATCTCATCACAAAATAATCTTTCATATAGTTAGCACAGCCAAAAGCATACTTTTACTAATTTATCCTTTCCCTAGTCTGAACAGTTCAAAATAAAATACTATACCTTTTAGAGCATCCTTATATATGGTGATAAATAGCTTGAAGACATCTTTAGGAATAGTATCTTCATTTGGCAAACATAACAAGAGAATAATAATTTCTGCCTGTCCCAAGCCATGTAATCCATTGGTTGAGAAGTACCAATATTTGTCTGAAGAATCTTAAGTGATAAAAGCATACAACTATAAATGTCAATTTATATTAACTAAAAAACAATTGTCCCTTGCATGAAACAAAACTTTTAAAATTCCTTTTTTCCAGAGTTCTACACACAAAGGCTTTAAGTTGAACTATATAAGACTAATGTGAAAAAGATAAAGCATAAAGATTATCTTAAGGGGTAATTAATAAATAACACTTAAAATAATACACTAAAACATGGTAGGTAAGAATTAGGTTCATCTCAAGAGAATGAAAAGCTGAGAGATGCTAAAATGCATTAATGAGGATTATGTGTTTCCTTACTTTTAATTAGGTCATATGGCACTTACTTTAAAACTGTCTTATTACTGCTAAACCAGAATTCCTATTTACACAATTACCAAATTTCAATTTATTTAGAAGCTACAAGAGATCAGTCAACTGTGTCATGCACACCAAAATACAATTCAGCTATAAGCCCATGACTTTAACCTAGGACTGACTGAGAGGTGGCAGTAAAAATCCAAAAGCTCGTATTTCAAGTTCCACTGAATATAAACTTTCAACATTTATTTGTAGCTTTATCCACCTGAAAAAACAGTATTTGAAGTTGCTTATTTTCACTGTTGTCTGTCAAAATCTAATGGAAAGATGTAATTAATTCAGAAATCCTGTTTACCAATTAGGCAAAAAAAGATGAATTGTTACTTACAAAATACTAACTTGACATTCACAAGTAGATTAGCATTTAGGACAAAGGTAACAGGACGAAACCCTTCGCCTTCAAGAAGCAAAACGATCTGCTCATGAGATGGATGTTCTTCTACTACAGGCACTAAATAGTGAAAATAATATACTAATTATGATAATATAGGACATATGATGAAAAACATGTTAAATATGCTTACAATGAGAAAACAAACTTATAAATCCAGCAGTCCCTGATCAAATTTAAAAAAACAAAAGCAAACAACAAGTTTCATAAAATCAATCAACACACTGGAAAACTGCTATATACTTATTTTTACTTTTCTATCTACCTAAAAATACCAGTCCTGTAATACACATAAAACAAAAAAAAAAACAAACACGTTGCTGTCAAGTCCCTACAGGACAGAGTAGAATTGTCCCACAGCATTTCCAAGGCTGTAAATCTTTACAGAAGCAGAATGTCACATTTTTCTCATGTGAAATAGCTGGTAGGTTTGAACCAGCAACCTTTCAGTTAGCAGCTGAGTGCTTAATCACTATGCCACCAGGATTCCTATGTAACATAAATCTTGATAATTTGATAAATCCAGTTAAACTGATCAGTGTATTTACATAATTTTACTACCTTCAAAGTCTTAAAACAACATTTTTGTAAAGTAGACTTCTGTTTGCCACTCACTCCCAGTATAATTTCTGAAATTTACACTCTGTGAAAGTAGTCTAGAACCAAGTTATCTATGCTGCTTGTTGCCATATGCTGTATTGTAGAGACAGGTAGCAAAAATGTATCTTGACAATCAATAAGAAAATACATATGGCAAGCAAAGAACAGGGCTGAAGATATTTTTTGCCGCTATAGCTACTGACAGAACAGAGACCCTAAACCTCATTTTCCTACACGTAATTGTGCAGAAAACATAACCATTTCACATTGCAGATGCACCATAATGCCTAGGATGGCAAAGCCCATCCTAGGGAACCACTCTGAGGTGGGAACTAACCATAGAATCTCAAGCTTGAAAAGAACTTTAGAGATTATGTAGGTTCTCTTTTTTTACTGAAGAAACTGAGGCTCAATAAGATTAACAACATGTTTCAAGTCATATGCAATCAGTAGCACAATGAGTAACTAAAATTCTTGGCTCTCAATCCTATCCTCTTTTCTTTAGGTATCATACTGGTTTGAAAAAATGACAGAAGTCAAAACTCTAATACAACAGAAATGTTTTTCAGAGCTAAAAATCTATGTGCTTCTCTATTACACTGGATTTTGAGGCTCAGATGTGATAAATGGATTGTATGCAATTCAACTCAAAAGCCAATTTTTTTTTTTATGCTTGAACAATCAAGAGTTTATTCTCTTACAGTTTGGAGGCTTTAAGTTGGAATTCAAAGTGCCAGGCTCTAGGGGTTGGGTGAAAGCCCCTCAACCTTGGGCTTCAGCTCTGCCTCCTGCTCCCAGCCCAATGGAGCTAGAGGTCAAAAGCCAAATTTTTGGAAGAATATTTTATATAAGACTTTTTATAAACCAAAATGATCATCCATAGTACATATTACAACAAAACTAAGTTTTTTTAAAAAATGCATTTCATATAAAACCAATAAAACGAGCATATTCTTAAAAATATATATACATATATGTATATACATACACGTATCTATACACACACACACACACACACACACAATTTCTTTTTAAAATTTAAATAGGTGCTATCCTACCTGATTCTTTTTCTTCAGAGGCAGCCAAAAGTGGGGGCAAGCTATAGTCATCATTAGGTAGAAGACTAATCTTATTGGAAACATACTTGCCAATACCACACAGTAGTTTATAATCTGAAATACTAGCAACAGATAAATTATTGTTCACTAAGACACCACCAGTAGGACTAGATGGTTGTTCGATTTCTGCAAAAACATTATCCTCTAGTGTAAAAGAACCAGAAGTAGGTAACTCTTCAGTTCCAGGGTTCACAGGCAGTTTTCCCACAGATGGATCCTGAGAAATAGGATTTTGAATAATCTCATTTCTCGTAATATCGATTTCATTTGCTTTTTCCACTGTAGTAGAATGGGCATAATCCACTGTGTTTACCATCTATAAAATACAGAATTAAAAAAAAAAGTTCATTCTGTTCAACTGTGAAATCTTGATCTATACAGACACATATATCTTATTAATAAAAGTAAATAAAAAATAAAATAGCGTCAGAAATTCTTATGTCCAGGTTCCCACCCAAGATATAGCACCATGTTGCTTCTTTAACTTCAGAAGCATAAGGCATTTTAGTTTTACTGTTATAACATGCTTGAGGAGGTATTAATGACTTTAATTTTACACACTAGAAACATGAGGCAAAGAAAACTTTAGAATCTCGTACCATATCACACAATGGCAAGCAAGTTAAGTTCAAGCCATACTTATGACAGCCAAAAAATCTTGGGCAGGCAAGGTGAAAGAGGTATAGTTAGGAAGCAGAGTAGTAAATATATTTCACAGTAGTAGCCACCTGGAATAAACTACACATCAAGTCAGCTTCCATAACATACCTTTCTCTTTAGACTGGCCAAACTTGAATCAACATTAAATGAGAAACATTTATGAACTCAAGTAATACCTACTAACCTGTTCAGAACTTTTATTTTGTTAAAATATCAAATCCTCAATCAAGGTGGGCCCTAGCTAAGAAACTTATCTTCCTTAACCATGGCTCCCTGTAAAATCTAGATCATGAACTCTTACTGATGAACAATGTACATATATGTGGTATGTGAATTACAATAGAGCAGGTAGGTTTCCAGCTAATCTAATGTTGTGTACCTAAGATCAATCAAGTGACTAACACAGAGTGAAGAAAAACCCCAGAAAACCCAAACCAATGTCATTGAGTCAATTCTAACTCATAGCAACCCATTAAATGACAGAGAAGAACTGACTTGTAATGCTTCTAAGGCTGTAAATATTTTTTTTTTTTTTTTTTTTAGGATTTGGGTGAAGATTTACAGAGTAAATTCACTTTTCATACAGCAGTTCACATATACTTTGTCTCATGTCATTGACCAAAATTTACAATGCAGCAGCTCCCCTCCCACTTCCTCCCCATAGTTACCTCCTCCCAGTGTCCATCCCTTCATACTCTTCTGCACCCTGAGCTATCTCCCTGTGCATAAGCAGCCCTTCCTTCTCCCATGATTGTTCTCTCCGGGGCGTGTGTCTACTTGAGGTAAATGTTTAACTCACATGCCTGTACTTTGTTTGGGTGGAAACCACAGTTGTGGGTTCAATTCCAGACCAGAAGGGCAGCTAGGGGCCATAGTCTCAGTGGTTACACCAGGCTAAGGCTGTAAATCTTTATGAAAGCAGTTTGCCTCATCTTTCTCCCACAGAGCAGCTGGTGGGTTCAAACCACCAGTCTTTCCATTAGCAGCCTAATGTGTCAACCACCGCACCACCAGAGTGCCTAACAGAAAGTGATGGCTCAGTAAATATTTAACAAATGAAAGCCTTCCTAATTCATGTATTAATACTTGCCCTAAGAGTATTTTGGCACTTTACAAAGAGAGTTCTGAACAGACTGTGATTCTATAATTAGTTAAATACAAACATAAAATACCATCAGATAATTTCCTGAATGTATGAAAATCACTAAACAAATAGTCTAAATTAAATGACTAAATCTCAGTTTATTTCCCTGCACTAATGATTCTCAAAATGTGATCTGGAAATCTTTGGGGTCCTTGAAACCCTTCCAGAGAGTCACTGAGTACTCCAGATTTTCTTCATACAATTTAATGAAAAAAAAAAAAAAAAAGTCACAAGACTGAATGCAGAAGCTGATGCTTCTACATTTAATGCTCAAGCATTAAAAGAAAAAAGTGTTAAGTATGCTAATATCAAACTATCACACAAGGAATTATCCATAAAATAAAATTATATTAAATTAATGGGCCATTCTTCAGATTTCTTACCAAAGGCTTATCAGGTAAGAGAGGACTAAAATCTTCAGAACATCTTTTACTTCCAGATGATAATTTTGTTGTATCTGCAACTTCACCATTGGGCAATATACCATCTGCAAACCATACTCTCTTCTGTTCTTTGGAACACAATCCTAGAATCAGTTGAAAAAGTGAAACATTTTAATTTGGCACTACTGCAATCATTTAATACCAAATGGGTCCGGAAATGTTTTCAAAACTTTTTTCAATGTCATACTCTTGAGAGTTTTTGGTCCAGTTTTATACCTCTCTTTGATGTACACTGTTCATACAAACGTACCCAAAAACCAAACCCAACCCACTGTAATCCTGCTTCATGGTGACCCTGTAGGACAGAGTAGAAGTGTTCTATAGGGTTTCCAAGGCATGAATCTTTACAGAAGCAGACTGCCACATCTTTCTCCCATGGAACAGCTGGTGGGTTCGACTTGCCAAGCTTTCAGTTAGCAGCCAAGCATTTAAACAATGAGTCACCAAGGCTCCTTTCAAACAAATACAGTGAACAGAAAATCAACAGGTTGCTGTGAATGAATTGTTCTACATGTTACTGTACAGAGGGGGCTATCAACTACAACCTGGAAGATAAACTTCCTCTCCCACCCCACAAAGTTGCTATTTAGTGGTGAGCCTCAACTTTTAGGGCTGCAAAGGCCTAAAGATAGATTTTTGTCTTTCATCTACCCTGCTGGAAGGTCTTTTTCTAATTCACACAAAGGCAGTATATTAGACCAGGGATGGTCCTGAAAATGAGGTACTCAGAAAAAGAGTAGACAGGAGAGGGTATACTTTAAAGATACCAGAGGCAGATTTAAAGCCTGCATTATTTAGGCTAAGCTTTCAAGTGTGGAGTGTAGCTCAACAGATTTAGGGACTAAGGCATAGGGGTAAAAAGGGCAGTAGACTGAGAATGGCAGAGAAGCAAAATAAAACATATACAAATGGAAAGAGACATTAAAATAAAACAGGATCATAAAAAAAGACCAGGTTTGCTGGTCTGACAGAGCCTGGTGAGATTCCTGAGACAATGGCCCCTAGCCACCCTACATGTCTAGAATTGAACTCACTCCTGTGGCTTCCAGCCAAACATTTGTTATCAGGCAGATACACTCCTTGGAGTAATCAATCATGGGAGAACAGAAGGGCAGTGTTTGTACAGGGAGACAGCTAAAGAGGGAAAGACACAGGGAAGAGGTAATGAGGAAGTGGGAAGAGAGCTGTTACATTGTGGGGAATTGCAATCAATGTCA